GCTGCATTCCCGTTCGTCGTGGCGCGGGACGGACGACCACCACGGTGTGTGCTGTTGCAGCGACGGATCGAGGGACGGCGGCCGCGAGCTGCACCGGGACGGACGGCCGCCGCAGTCCGTACCACTGCTGCAGCGGGACGTCGACGGCGCGGCCGTGAAGCGGACGGCGGGCGTGCTCGGCCGCGGCGTCCGTCTCGTACAGCATGGCGAAGAACTTTCTGGGCGACAGCGGCCGGCGGACGGCCACTCCGGATTCAGGCCATGGCGAACAGCGGCGTAGTGCCCATGCAATGTTGCGTCTGAAGTGTGCGCGTCCGTGGTCGAAGGGATTTCGTTTCACGCCGCCATACCGCCACCTCGAACGGTGGACGACGCTGACGCGCCGCTGCGAAGGGCGTGTCCTGCGCGCGTTGTATTATCATCATTAGTGTTTTAAGGGTTGTGCAGTGGTGATCCGCGTGACGCACCGGGGGAAAGGGTGCACGTCGTTGGCGCGCACGCGCTCGCTCACTCCCCCGCCATCGAAATCCCATGCACGCCCCCGTTACATTTTACCGCGCGACCGTTTTAGTCGCGTTCCCTCCCCTTTTTGGTACAGCGCCGTGCAGTGTGCGCGTCTGACCCTGCCGCTGCAGGTGCGGTAAACGGTTTCTTCTTCACGTGATTATTCACATAGAATTTGGTCGTTGACGACATATCGCTTAATAGGTTTACGACAACTGTGCACCGTATAGACACTTGTGTCTCCAATACACATCTCATAATAGGTACGTTTAATATCTGTCGACATCAGTTAACGACTGTAATAATTCTATATTATTAAATTATTTTCGATTATTCACCCGTAAATGTTTAACATTTAGAGCATGGAATTATTAGAACTATGTCCGATTATTATGTTTATAATATATTACTATTTTATCACACATGCAAAATATAAAATAAAAATTATAATATATTTATATACATATATGATATATACACGCAATACATTGAATGACAACACCGTAGATTATTATTTTAAATAACACTTTTGTGTTCAGAATAAATGCGATTAACTGCTATTGTCCGAAGCTAGAACGGTAGTGTTTTGAGACTGAGAGTTCTTGATAGCCAAGTATACGGAAAACAACAGGTGTAGAGACTCGACTTTGGTGTCAGTTTTCGGGATTCCGAAGTAATCTAAAACAGATTTAAATCACACGATTTAATTTTGACGCATGCAGTTGTTCGAAGTTCTGCCAAACTACAATACTATCGGATGATTGACGAATAAGTAAAAAATATACAAATAAAATTAGAAAGTCGTATAGTAAATAATAGGTTACTAATATACTTATTTTGTTTATGATAATCGTAATCTTTTATTTTTATATACGTATACTAAGTCTCTTTACAAATTAAATCGACAGTTAATATCAGTAATATTCGATACACTGCGATAACGCGTGATATTTTAAAAGTGATAGTAAGTCTTCATTTTTATTACGATGTTACTTATACAATATAAAATTTAATAACTATATACATCGTATACTGATAATTTCATTGTTTTAGCCATTAATCAAAATATAATATATTATTTTACTTCAGTGGATGGAAATTAAATAAAAATCGATTATTCGTTATAATACGTTATTATAAAGTATTTATATAATTGTTTTACAAGTTACTACACTTACTCAGTAAGTAGCTAATATTTTTACCTATGATAAATTATAATACTACTCATTTAATATCATTAAAGTAATTTAAAATAATACTTTTTTTTCTATTCACTATGCACATTAATAAAAGAATAAACGTAAGAAATATATATATATTATACCTCACGTCTTCATATGTATATAGGTATATGTGTGTGTGTGTGTGTGTGTGTGTGTGTGTGTGTATCAGAGTGTTATACATAAAATATAAAAAAAAATTGTAAAAACAAAACTTTTTTTGAAACAATGAAAATTAAAGATTAAGATAGTAAATAATAAAAACATAAAAAACATAATACTCGTACCTCTCCGTTTCATAAAAATATGATACATATATAATACTATAATATAATATAAATTAAATATATTATTTATTGATCGATTACAAATTTTAACAGACTTTTATTTTAGTGTAATAAATATTTGTTTTATGCGCCCCAATACAATATTTTTAAGGTTTCGATAAGATTTACATAACCATTATCGTATTATATTTTATATTATAATACATCATCATGCATTTTAACTACATGCATAGTAATATATTTTTCTCTATATGTCTTAAAAATAAAATCGATATACGTACCACAGACTTCATCAATTAGAGTCAATAGATCTGCATTTTCAAAATCCGGCATGTCTTTGTAATTCTGATCGCTGCCACCCATCCATGGTTCCATTATTGTTTCTACATCTGGCATTTTTCTATTGACACGCAAAATATCAGTTTATACAGTGCAATATTTTAAGATATAATATAATATTAAAATACGAATTTGATTATAATTTTATTATACATATTTGTATAGAGTATATTTATCAGTACTTACTTGGAATAAAAAAAAGCGGAAGTCTTTCCGCGGTTCAATTCATTTATGTCACGTATCCACTGTTCAATGACTTTTGGATTTTTTTCGGCGCTTTCTAATTTTTTCGCCACCTTTAATAAACCCTCTAGTATTATAGGTTCTATTATTATTATTATAAAATATTAATTATTTAATTATTTAACACTAATCACAGTCTGTAGCTTACACGATGGCGTCATTATAATCACTATAATAATTAATTTTTTGTTCGTTTAATATAGCATTTATAGAGTGATCTATTCAATAGTATAATATAACTTACCTAATTTTTTAAGTCAAATTTTGTATTATTGAATTAAATTCAATATATTGTTTAAAACTTACAATATTAACTTTGATTTTTGGTCAGTAATTTAATTTTAGGTTTTATATTGTTTCGAAGGATAACCTATTATTTTGATGTATTTACAATTTTCCAATATTGAAAAAGTTACCTTACATTTAATACATTTAATTTTTTAGACAAGTGTAGGTGGAAAATGTCAAAAATTTCCTCACATACGTTGTGATCCTCTACTTAACTACCTATAATTAAAAACAAGATATTTTTTTGTTTATGTAAAAATGTAGTCTAAAATATTTAGGTACTTCAAACTACATGTTTAAAAACAATTTTTTCAAAAAATGATATAGCCGCTTAAATAACTACTTTATTGTAAACGTAGAGTCGTGTTAATAATTAGATCCCTCCACTCACCAATGCCTTGGATGATGATGAACTTGATGCCCGAAGCTGTAGGTTGAGCAGACACGGATCGCTTTGGTTTAAGCATGGCTCGTCCAAATACTCTAGACCAAGGCCCGCCTGTATGGAAGGATCGGGTGGAATTACTTTGATAAACGCATCGGCATCACCAACGGCTGGCAAGTAATCCGGTATGAATGGCTGTAACTTAAACTCGAGTTTCGTCTTTTGGGGATAGTACCTATAATATAACACGTCTACATGCATATTATATTGTCCAAGATACATGGCGATAATGCCTTACCAAGCTTGTCCTTGACATAAAAATGTACTTGAATACTTAATGTACATTTTTGTAAGTTCGAATTTTAAAATATTTATATAAATTAGCTCTATAAATTAGCGTCTTAGCTGATTTGACACGCCGAATTTAAAAACCAAAATTTCTAAATATGACAATTATGACTTCTTAATAACATAATTATTTTCCAGAATCATTTTTCTATAAAATAATATAAACAATAAAAAATTTATTGTTGGGGACAAACGTGGCGAGACACTCAGAAAGTATTATAGAAGTTAATCATAATATTATATAATGTATTAAGAATTCGATACAAACTGTTTTTAAGAAGTTCAATTTATGTTATTTCTCAAGTGTGTGCGTGCAAATCATGTGAATGTGCACGTAGTAAGTGATTATTATTGTGTGTGTAGCTGGTGTATAAAAGAGAGATAATCATAATCGTGAACTCCTATAATCACCATATTATAATTAACTTACTTTGCACTAAAAATTAATTAAAGTAATATAATAAAAAATATAAACACATTAATTCAGTATAAAACTATTACTTAAAGTCGATTATCCCACTTTTTTATAAGTTTTCTTCAATCCCATTTAATATTATAATAATATTAAAAAAATTAAATTTTTACCTTCTTAAATAAAATTTAAAGGGCTTTTTTTAATTTGTAAGAGTTGATATTTTTGAAAAATTGGATTGATCCCAAATACAATTTTAAAGAATTTAAATTTATTTTATTTTCATATATTTTATCATATTACTAATTTTATTGATACAATGAACAAAACTGTTTTCCTTAATAAAATGATTGGAACGAATTCTCTTAAATAATATTATGCTATATGACCAACCACATAAATGATCTTACATAATATTATAATGATATACTTAGTACTTACATTGATATGTATTTAAATACGTCTTTAATATCTTGGGGCAAATTCAGAAGATCAACATCTTTATTGTAATCCCTAGTACAGAATAAATTTATTTTTATTAAAATACATTTAAAATTCACAATATTGTGTTCAAATTATACATTTTATAATATTATTTTGTTTTTACGAGGTGCAGTAAAAATAAATGTATTATTATATAATCATTTATTAATTATCGTATCCACATATAACTATCCATGTTTTGTTGGCATATGTTACGTACAAGATACATGAATAATTATCGAATTATTAAATTATTTATCACACCAGAAAATTAAATGCATTATTCATTAAATGCATTCTGAACATCTGGCAATGTGGTTATGAATGAGATTCATTAATTGAGTTTTATCTGAGACATTTACGAGTAAATAAAAAAAAGTTGAGTAAAAATAAACAAAAAATTACTAAAAAGTAAAGTGTGAAGTATGTAAGACCATGAATACCATACTTTATATATTTATATACATTTGTAACATTAATATATATTATGTTACATGATAAATATATATATATGTGATGTTATAAAATATAAACCTTCAGTAGACAGTAATTGAAAAACGTGTCAAGCCATTTGTCTGTCTGTGAGTAATTCGTAATTATTAAAGAATGTGTTTAAGAAAAAAAACAATCACGATTATTTCGCTCAAATCGGAATGTTATTAAAATTGAATGTAGATATAATAAAGTTCATAAAAAATGCATTCTACTATATTTTTACCTTTGAGCTTCGTGCACGTCAAAATTGTCCGGATCTTCCTTCACGGTTGTGTCCACTTCTTCGTAATCTACGGCTCGGAGTCTAGATCTGGATCTCCGACCTGAACCACTGGACATCTATTTAAATAAAAAATATAAAATATATTAATAAAACGTATATATTAATAAATTTATTATTATAAAGTAAATACTCGCAGAAGAATAATTATTATGGACTAATTATAATTATACATATATATATATATATAATATTATATAATATTATATATTATAATTATATAATTATTATAACCACCGACATAATAATTGAAGTTTTGCAATCCTTAGTTTAATAATTTAGAACATCCTCTATATCTATCCATTACATAACAATATTGATTGATTATAGTATGATTAATAATAATATGTAGATAATTAAAATAATTATTTCTTTTTTTCAATAATAACCATACTTTAACCAAATAAAACAT